AAAAACCTCATGCCGGGCGCGTGTGTGTGCGTGCCCAAGATTCCGAGAGGAGAATGGAGAAGGGATTGTGGCGTGACCATCTCCCCTGGGGGGTGATTTCTCGCTTTCTGTCTCTATGTCTCTCTCTGTCTGTCTGGCGAGTGCACGCGCCCTATAGCGAAAATCTCTCCAAAAAAATTTTAAAATTTTTTTAAAAATTTAAAAAAAGGTAAAATAAAATAATGACAATGAATACAATTTTTTAAATAAATAAAAATCACACTAGGCACGTGTGTATGCATGCCCAAAACCTTGAGAGGAGAAAAGAGGAGAGGGATTGCTGTATAGCCAACCCCCCAAGGGTATTTCTCACTTTCTCTTTCTCTGTCTATCTCTGGTAAGTACATGCGCCCAATGAAAGAAAAAAAATAAAGATTGCCATCTCAACACTGTGGCTTTGAGGATTAAGTCTCCAACACATGTACTTTAGGGGACACATTCAAATCATAGCAGTAAGTTAAACCTTAATGTTTAAAAATCTTCCAAAAAAGTATAGTTCTTAAGGATGATTTTATTTACATGGTAAATAACATGCCAATCAACTCAAAAAAGAGTGATAAAATTAAATCACAGAATTTAATTTGCAACATAATCTAATTTCAATTGTTCTACTTTGTTCTATTTGTTAAATAGAACTTGTACTGCTTATTAAATTGTTATAAACATTTTGGGTTCAAAAAGTATATAAGGTTTGGGACCAGCAGTTAGCGTAATGGCTATGTCGCTGGACTCCCATGTAGTCGACCACGGTTCACATCCCAGACCCGGTGGCTTAAACTCACGCCGGGTGCATGTCCGTGTGTGCTCAGGATCCCGAGAGGAGAATGGAGGAGAAGGGATTGCGGCGTGACCATCCCCCCTGGGGGGTGATTTCTCGCTTTCTGTCTCTCTGTCTCTCTCAGTCTGTCTGGCCAGCGCACGCCCCCTATAGCAAAAATCAAAAAAAATTATCTAGGTTCTGGGGCCAGCAGGTGGCATGGTGGTTAAGGGCGCTAGACTCTCACATGGCCAACTGCAGTTTGAGTCTTGGACCTGGCAGCTTGCTTTCTCACTTCCCTTCTCTCTTTCTCTCACTCCATTCTTCTCTTGTCAAGTTAAAATAAATAAATAAAGTTAAATAAAATAATTCTTTTAAAAAAAAGTATATAAGGTTCTCCCCGAAGTTACTTAGCTAACACATTTTCTCCTGTTATTTATACTACCTGTCAGTTTTTGTATTTTCTAACTACTTGAAAACACTTCATTTAATTAATTAGTTTTAGTTTTTACTATTGGGCAAAGCACACTTTCCTGGAGAGAGGC